TATTTATCTTCCTAAGTAAGGGTTACGGCATCAGGAACGATCATGATTCAGACTCTTCTACATGCTGGCTTGGAAATTTCTTGTATAATAATTTTAAAATGACAAAATAGAGTTATTAAAATTGCAGTATATTTCATTATTTTCCTTGAATAAATATGTCCTCAAATAAGCAAATTTATTGTCATATGCAAGCATAGTTCACCATACATTTATAGTATTTATTAAAAATATTTCTAGAGCATTAAAGGGAGTGATACATGGAATATAAGTTTTAAAATATATAATGAAAGTTACCTCTTGAGTCTATCAAAGTACCACTATAATTAACTGTGTAACATCATTTGGAGTTAATATCAAAATATTAAAATTGAGAATCTTGATGAATCTGAGGACCCAGGACAGAAAGTGACTCTCCAGTACCACTCTCCATTCCCATGATAAGGTCATTACTTCTGTTTTCTCATATAACTTACCAAATAATTACTATCTTTTTTATTTTTTAGATGAGGAAACGGGGGCCAACCGTTTGCGAAAAGCAGCAGCCAATTGGCAGCAGTGATTCAGATCCTTCGGCCTCCAAAACCCCTTCGGTAGAAGCAATCTGGGTGGCCCATTATGATGTCAGACCTGAAAAGCGTTCTCATGAAACACTCTGCATGAAACTTCAGATAGAGTGTCTAGACTGTGGTCAGTGTGTAAAACAACAGTGTCAGTCACGGTAAACATGCATGTTCCAGTGCACAAAACAGTGTCCTCCTATTACAAAGATGTTCATGTACCACCCATGAAGGCAAATTAATTCTTGGAAGATGTTTTCAACTCGTTTAAAATTGTAAAAGGAAAAATTTTAAATAAGATGCATAAACTGTGAAAAAGCAAACTCTATCACACATCTCTTCTTTGCTGAATGCCCAGTTAAGAAGAGACACCGCTAGCACACACGAAGTTGCAGACGTGCTTTCTTTCCTCTACTACCCACCACTGTCTCTCAACACACCGCATGAAAACACACACATAGTGCCTTCCCTCTGAGAGTTCTTAGAAAATGCCTGTGGAATGAATGGACAGATGGATGAATGATCAGGGATAAATATGTTCATGTTCTGAAGATACATATAATCTCTTCTTGGTGACAAAGGGTCATGTGTGTGTGCATTAGCTTATGCCCTGTGAAACTCAGGAGCTGCATTCCTTACCTTTACACCAAAACTTTCAGATTCATCTCCCTTTTGAATATTTAGGGCTGCTTTTTCCATATGGCTGGGTCTCCAGCCTGTCTCTTTTCCATGTTGCTATAACATGCAAGCCTCTAGCATGTGATAACAGACCCTATATATAAGTTAAAACTATGCAGACTGGGATGCTCAACACTCCCAAAGATACCTTAAAAAAAAAACTTCAACTAGAATCTGTTGATTGCAAAGCTATCTTCAAAACACGAACATATTTCTCCCTTGTCATTCATCCATCTGTCCATTCATTCCATAGGAATTTTCTGAGAACTCTCAGAAGGAAGGCACTGTGTGAATGTCTTCGTGCAGCATGTTGGGAGTCAGTGGTGGGTATTAGAAACAAAAGGAAAATAAACCACATCTGCAACTTAAGGCCACACTCCTTCTAAAGCCAATACGTTGCTAAGACTTCTTTCTTCCCTATAAATGCTTCTTGGATTTGCCCTTCTATCCGTCTCTTTCTATCTGATTTTATCTATACAGTACACAAAATGGTACCTTGTAATCAAGATTTAAATTATGTGACTTTGATAATCACCTAACTTGAAAAGGGGGCCTCACTTTGCTTTATATGTAAAAGGGGAAAATAAAAGTTTACTGCTTAAAAGCTAACGATTTTCCAGGCTGGTCTCGAACTCCTGACCTCAGGTAATCCACCAGCCTTGGCCTCCCAAAGTGCTGGGATTACAGGTGTTATCAAAATATAAAAATTAGCCAGGCGCAGTGGCAAGTGCTTATAGTCTCTGCTACTTTGGAGGCTGAGGGAAGAGAACTGCTTAAACCCAGGAGGCGGAGGTTACAGTGGGCTAAGATCGCACCAATGCACTCCAGTCTGGGCAACAGAGTGAGAATTCATCTAAAAAAGCTAAAGATTGTCAATCGTTGGATCTAAGATTTTATAAAGTTGCTTCTAACCCAATATAAACATTAAAATTTATAGGTGAGTCCTATTTTCTATTCTTATTTCTTTCTTCGCTCTCTGAAATTAGATTTTAGATCTGTGGTATTTGTGAGAGGATTAATACTCTTTTTCCTCATTAAAAGTGTTTGGGCTATTAATAGATGTCTAATTTACCATATTATTTAGGTCTCTGATTCACCTATTTCCATCCACATTCATGAAATTCATTCTCAATATTACTACCAGAGTGAGCCAGGACAAATGTGACCTATTACCCTGCCTGAAACACATCAAAGGCTGCTCATTCATTGTAAACAATGCCTAAATTCCTTAGTATAATTTTTCCTAATGTGGTTCCCATTCATTTTTTTTTTTTTTTTTTTGAGACAAAGTATCATTCTGTCGCCCAGACTGGAGTGCAGTGGCACAATCTCCGCTCACTGCAACCTCCGCCTCCCAGGTTCAGGCAATCCTCCTGCCTCAGCCTCCTGAGTAGCTGGAATTACAGGCATGCGCCACCACGCCCAGCTAATTTTTTTTGTATTTTTAGTAGAGACAAGGTTTCACCATGTTGGTCAGGCTGGTCTCGAACTCCTGATCTCGTGATCCACCCGCCTTGGCCTCCCAGAGTGCTGGGATTACAGGCTTGAGCCACCGCACCTGGCACATTTAAAAAATCTTCTTTCCCACTGCACCACCATGCACTCTCCAGTTAACACCAAATTGCTTGCATCTCATTAATTCATTACACGTATTCTATAAGTATTTACTGAGCATAAATTATATATTAGCCACTATGCCAGTACGCGCAGGGAATCCTGAAGTGAACAAGACCAACATGGGCCAGTTTCACAGTTAACAGTCCCACTTAAAAAGGTTTCATACTGTCTGCAGCTTCCTCCGGCCCCTGAAATGCCTGAAGAACACAATATAATGTTCACAGCTCAGCTCCAGGCTCAATTCCTCTATTAAATCCTTTCTGACCAACCCCCACCGTATACCTCATACACACTACCATCTAAGCCCATTTAGCCCTTTATTATAACAATGTATTGGCCGGGTGTGGTGGCTAACGTCTGTAATCCCAGCACTTTGGGAGGCTGAGGCAGGTGGATCACGAGGTCAAGAGATCAAGACCATCCTGGCCAACATGGTGAAACGCTCTCTCTACCAAAAATGTAAAAATTAGCTGGGTGTGGTGGCAGGCACCTAAAATCCCAATTACTTAGGAGGCTGAGGCAAGAGAATAACTTGAACCTGGGAGGTGGAGGTTTGAGTGAGCCGAGATTACACCAGTGCACTCCAGCCTGAATGACAGAGCAAGACTCTGTCTCAAAACAAACAAACAACAACAAAAACAAACAAGCAAACAAAAACGTATTTACTAGTCTATTGCACCAAAATGGCACATAGGCAACGGCCATCTCTTAGTCATCTTTGAAATGAATGAAAACACAGAAATAAAGTCTATGAAGATCATGGCATACTGATGCACTTAATAAATATCTGCCTAAAAATGAAAAACTGAAGGAATTACTTACTTTATTCTTATCATAAATGCCTTTTTTCTGTTATCTTCAAGTTATTCTACAGACTGTAAGTTCCTTAAAGTCAGAGATTATATATTTTTGGTCCTGTTCTGAGCACATATTAATGACAAAACATTTACTGAATACATTCTCTAGATGTACAATTCGTAACTATTAGACCATGGTAAAAATGTCACAATAGTTAAGAAACTGAAATCAACAATAATCACATTAACAAGGCTCTAAAATGTGTAGGCATGGGTGGTATCAGATCCATTTTATGAATGTCTGATTTCAGTGATAATGCCAATTCACTAAGAATACAGGTAGAAAAACAATCACAAAACCTATTGTTTATTCTTACAACAGCCGAGAAGTTATAGATCTAGATAATGTAAAAAGAAAAGAATCCCACAGTTTAGAAAATGCTGTGGGTTCCTATAATAACAGTGATCACATCAGCAATAATAATAGCAAATACATACAGTGTTTTCTATTTGGCATGTACACTTCTAAGCACTTTGTACATACTAACTTATTTTATGCTCATTTCAACCCCGTGAGATACTCCCATTATACAGATAAGCAAAATTATGCACACACAGGTAAATTAATTTGCCCAAGATCACTCAGGTAATAAATAACTGAATTTGAACCTAGGAAGTCTGGTTCCAGAGTCTTTGGTATTAACCACGATATTATTTTCATTCTTTATTGTTATAGAATAAAAGTGGCCATCCAGACCCTACACAAATAAATGCCATCCTAAACACATGTGGTAAATTTCAGGAGTCCTCAGCTTCTTGTTATGACTTCTATTTTATATTTGAAATGTAAAAAAACAGTATGTATATGTGAGACAATCAAGAGAGGGCACCAGGAGTAAGATCTGGGAAAAAGCTTAATTATTTTGCAGTGCATAAAGAAATTATCTAACAGCTATTACACATAACTTTAATACTACCCCCCAAAATTCAAGAGCTATGAGGAGAAAGTTCTGTCACCTGTCAGCCTACCACCAACTAGATCAGTCACACAGATCAACAAACATTATTACAAGTAGTAAAGGGGAAAAGCCACCTAGGGCATTGGAGCCATGCATAGGACTTCTGAAAGCACTGCAGTACATTTCATCTGCAGTTCTAAAATGTGTAACAGCAAGCAGAGTTCATAGCTTCGGTAGTTTTTATGAAAACTCTTCACAATAATCCTTATTTAGCTATCATGACTTCATTCCGGACAATATTAACAGTGTGTGGATTCAAACCACAACTTTGAACATGTAATTGTGGAAAGTGGTTAGAACAGAATTACACCGTATCAAATAAACAAACCTACCATAAAGGGCCTTTGCACTTGTTTTTGAACCATGTTCTCTGTCCATTTGGGAAAAGGTGGGTGATGACCCGTAGCCACTGTAGTTAAAAAAAAAAAAAAAGTCATTCTGTTGGGTTAAAGTCCAACATAAGTAATAGAAACTCAAGTAGAAGATAAAAATTCCAGTGCACTGTAATCACCATGTGTTTAAAAGAATATATTGAGATCCTATCTGAGCTTGTCAAAATGAGTCAGATCCCGCTCTGGTGAGTGGTAATGAAATAAAATATAGACCACACTTTCACAATGAGGACCAAGGCTGCTTCACATCACAAACTTCCCTCAAATGCCATGTCAGAACTGTAGCCAAGAAGATTCACGACGGTTGAAACTATCTTAAAGAGTTTAAGTTTACCATATTGAATTAAGTTCTGAAAGGTAATCCAATTATAACAAGTTCTCAAGGATTTGAGCTTGGGATATAATGCTACAGACAATCCAGTTGGCCTAAATAATACTTTATCATTAAATGTGACCTGCTTTACCTTATAGCTAGCCTCTTGTTACTAACATGTTATATGAAATAAATAGTACTTCATTTGAATTTTATTCATTTATTTAGTAAACATTTTTTTAAGACCCAAAACCTAGAAGAATAAGGAGTAAGGGAGGGGAAACAGGGTGCCGTCAATAAGATAAGTACATAAAATAATCACAATAGAATGCGGTATCTGGGTAAAACTATAGATATAACGTGGAAAAAAATCAAAGAAGGACTAACCCTATCAATATATCTAAGAAAACTTTACTACCACATTGACACAAGCAGAATCCAAATGGAAAGAAGCTCCAAAAACAGGCAGAGAATCAAGTTAGGAAAATTACGTGGAACTGACCCAAGAAATAGCACAGTGTCTGTGGAAAGAGGCAGTTAACGTAACATTCCCAGAATAAGCTGTGGCAGATTGAGGGCTTTTAGCATCATGATTAAGAATTACATTTTATTTTATTCTCTAGAAATAGTAACCCCCTTACCTGTTATGAAAAAATGATGAGTAAAATATTCATCACAATGGCCAATATCAAATAACAACATTAATCACAATATACAATAGCCAATTAAGTCAGGGTTGTGATTTCAAGTTATACCTTGACCCACTGGAATTACTTTGTTTGCTGGCCTGATCTTTTCTAGTTTTACACAACGGTAAATAACTTGATTAATTTACTCTAAATGACATTTAGCCGTTCTCAAATACCAATATTTTACAAATAGCAATAATATAATATGCCATGGAAATTCAAAGCTCTGAAGTAGACTATATTCAACTATGAAAAGCAACAATGCATGAAGTACTAGAATGAAACACTGTCCAAGTGTGAGAGCACTAGCATCATCATGAGGCTCTTTACCATCTTATTCTTGCCAGACACAGTAAACTTTTAATAATAACGTGTTGTCACAAAGATATTACATATGAATGAGGAAAGAACTACTGAACTATACAAAAAAAGTAATCTTTTCATTAAAAATACAAAACAATTAAAATCACCAAATCAAATCCCTTAAAACGTATTAAATATAAACCTTTCAACTTACTTCATCTGAGACGGGTACATTCCGAAACTACCGGGATGATTAGAAATATGACCATTCATCGTGTCCTTCACGCCTGTGTTTTAAAAAAAGAAAGACACATAGATTAAAGTCAATAAAAAGGTGAAGACATCTCAATTTCAAAAGTTTTTCATTCAACAAATATGTGCTACTGCCAGGAATTATAGTAGAAATACAAAGATAAAGATTTCCACCCTCAAAGAGCCCAGGCTCCAGATGTATAGAGGAACAGTTAAACAAAGATCCGCTGGCATTTAAAACTCATATGCTAATATTGTAAGCAAATGTAGGTGAACAAAAGAAAAATCTAAAATATAGTTCTGAGTCCTCAAAGCATATAGGCATAATTTTACATTCTGCCAAAACTCATAATCAGCTATCAATTTTATGAGATGCTATTTTGTTTACTATTACATTATAAAATATAAACTCATTTTATTAAAAAACTTGAGAAATAAGAGAAAAGTATGAAAGCAAAAAGTATTACCCCCAGAGCCCTATCATTTACAGAAAATCATGTTAGTTCCTACCAGTCTTTTTGCCTACAAGTGGTTTTCTTTCCTCCCTGCCTTCTTTTATTTCTTTCCCTCAAAGCACATCTGACAAAAGAATTAGCTCAAATTATTAACTCAAATATGTGCTTTGTCAAATGCACAAATGCACATGGATACACCTTTTTTTCAAGAAAGTTTTCATTTACACATTTCTTTTACTTCTTACAAGAAAATAATTTTAAAAATCAGCATCATCTGATGCTGATTAACTAACCTCAGAATCCATTTTTAAGTCTATTTTACAGATTGAACAAACTTCCTTCAAACAAGATAAATAATGAGTAAAACTTCCTTATTACCAAATGGAATGTTCTTCTAGAAAACACTGCTATCTATAGCCAGTGTGTTTCTATTCACTCCTGGGTATTTGGTCCTCCCCGGGTTTGTGTCACTAAGCTATCCTGGATCCTGTCTTATGTTTCTGACTTTTTTCTTTTCAAATATATTTTATTACTATGTCTTCTCAATAACTGTGACTTAGGCAGAACATACCCTAGCTTTATGGGCCAAGGGGGTGGAAACATGACTAAATATTGATTTATTAAGTTTCAGATCCTGTGATGGATATTGGTACCACCAAAGTGAACCAAACAGACATGGTCCCAATTATAGGGCCAACTGTCTAGTGGGGGAAAACAGATAATGAATAAATGTAAAATTTTAAGTTGCAGTTATTAATATTATTACAAAGGGTACATTCATTGTAACATGGAAGCATGTAATAAGGGAACTTAATTCAGATTAAAGGGCACGGAAAGCCTACATAAAGAAGTAATATTTAAGATCTGGTCACTTTAATTCTTTCTCATTCTTCAGATCTTGGTTCAATCACAATGTCCTCAGAGGAAGATTTTACTGACCTTCCTGAATAGATAAAATTCCACTATCAGACACTCTCCACAGTATAGGCAGTTTTTCAAAGCACTTATCACATTCATAACTTTTCATTTATTTAAATTAATACCTGCCTCTTCACTAAACTCTTAGCCCCCAAAAGGCATGAATTTTTGTTTGATGACTGCTGCTTTTCAAACAAGAAGAAGGGTACCAGGCAAAGAACAGGTGTTCTTTAAATATTTATTCAAAGAAAGAAAGAAGGAAATCCATGTCCCACTCTTCAAAGAGTTTATTGTATTCTTAGGGAAACAAAGTTAATTCGTGTAAAACAAATAATAAGGAATTAAGTTCAAATGAATGTAACTCTATTTCAAATCTGCTGGAAGGTCAGAGAGGGAAAAGGCCATGAAGATGGTCATTACTTTCTGGAAGGGCTGAGACTTGACCTAGTTCTTTAAAAGCGGCTAAGAATGGCCCTCAAAACACTGGAATCAAGCTTTCCTGATAGTATTATCTATATTTATCCACTGTCTAAAAGCAAATTTATAAATTAAGTAGCAAAGAAAGATTGGCCTCTGCTCTATACATAGACTGTACTTATAAAATTACATGTATATTACATTGCTGTCTTCCATTTTTGTTGTTTTCCTTTTTCAGCTTATAGATACAATCAGTGGTGTGCTGGTAACCAGTTCTCAGGGTGGCACAAGGCAGAGGGCCTGATTTGTAGTGCTTATTGACTTCCATGGTATAAATATTCCCACCACGGCCAATTTCAAGCAGTCGGTGGTTTAATAGCAGCTTACAAAATTCCTAAATTCTTCACGATTTGCTCTCATAACCCTAAAGGATCTAACTACAGCACATCATTGCTACATTCCATGATTTGGGCCAGAACAGAGGCCTGGAGTAACATTACGGAACTAGAGATAATAGGGTCGGGATACAGACATTCACGAAGTCTGGAATTTTAACACCATTCCTGGCACTAATTGGACTAGGAAAGTCAATTAGGCCTCTGTCTCAACATTCTCATCAGTAAAACAGAGATAATTCTTCATCTTCTGAGCTCACAGTGCTAGTGTAAAGATGAAATGAGATAGATGTGCAAGTTTCTTCCAAAATCAAAAAAAAAAAAAGAAATGTTCTTTCAAAGCAAGCTGGTTCATTCAGTATATAAATTAAACCCCTAGGGTTTGAGCTGATTTTGATCTGGTTTGCATTTTAAAACCACAGCAGCTGGCTTTAATGAAAAGTGATAGCCACAGCAACTCATCTTTTCATGTTTAATTCTTCATGACAATCAAATAAATGCATGGTCTCTGTTTTGTTTTAAAATAGTGATGTGTTAAAAGGAATAAGAGAACATTAGAAAACGGGATAGAAAATATCAATTTGCTAAATTGAATTTGAAATATGGAAACTTTATGTCATTTGGGAATCACAGTTTCACTTATCACAGTGGCTCATGTGGCAAATATGGAAGCTTTCAAATACCCAAATGGAGCAATTGCAGTTTATACCATGCAGAGGAAACAATTACAAATGCTTGTCTTTTTTCCACTAGGCTTTTAAAACATACCCACAGGTTTTACCCATACATACCATGTACACAATTTAAAATAACAATAAACTCTCACTTAAAAACTGTTTTTATTTATATAAACTGTTAAAGCAACCTAAAAACTAAGGAGATAAAGTTTTCTTTATCACTTGTAAGTTTAAAGACTCACAAATGCAGTTACACTAACTACATAATTCTACTGAAAGTGTACACAAAAGCCATCATAATAGCTACCATCTACAGGACTTTGAACTGCAGAGTATACTTATAAGCAGATTTTCTTCCGCCTCTGCCACCCTGAGACAGCAAGATCGACCCCTCTACTTCCTGTCCTTCAGCCTACTCAACATGAAGACTACAAGGATGAAGACCTTCATGAGGATCCATTTCTATTTAATGAATAGAGGACATATTTTCTCTTCCTTAAGATTTTCTTAACATTTTCTTTTCTCTAGCTTACTTTATTTTAGAATATATAATACGTATACCAAATATGTTAATCAACTGTTTATATTATCTGTAAGGCTTAGGTAAACAGTAGGCTATTAGTATATGTTTTGGAGGAGTCGAATTTAGACATGGATTTTCGACTGAGTGGGGTCAGCACCCCTAATACCTGCATTTGCTCAAGTGTCAGCTGCATTTGATTTCAAGTAACAGCATCCATGTCATTATGAAAACATTTTTAGTAAGTCATAATCTAATTTTATCTTTATTTTCTACAGAAAATAAAATTCTTTGACAATTAGAAGGATACAAATGATAAATTTAAAATCTAAGTTAAACACATCAAAAATGTAAAACACTATAATTTAAAAAAAAAGTAAATGGAATGCATGAAAAGAAAATGACTGTAAGAAGAAATAAACAAGGCTATAAGGCTAACCCGGCAAATTAAATTTGTATTAGAAAGTTTTAAGAATCTCATATATAAGTACGTTTTGGATTCCTTTTCTTTACTCTTGCTTGCATCTAATATCAATTTTCAAATTGGTAGATAAGTATGTAGGCATGGCTCGATGTCAGAAAACTACCTAACCAGTCTTGCTGCCACATAATTATTAACTCTCTGCATATTTAACTGTCCTTCAAATGACTCGTGTTGTCAGAAAATATCACTGATGTTTCTTTATCTATTAAAGTGTGTGTTTGGATATGACAGAGTGTCTAGAAACGTCCATGTCTAGGTTTCAATTTAATTTAATTTCTGTCTCTCAGTCTAAGTTATAACCAAGTGGGAGGGGGCATTATCATTACTTAGGATTTTAACTAAAAGACCATTGAAACTTAATTTCTACCAATACTTCGTGGCATTGTCTACCAATGATTTTGCTTAAAACATTAAAAAATAATAATAATATTCTTTAAACCTCTTAAATCATCACACATATTGTCTCGTACAGTGTCTCCTAGAGCAACCACGTATTAATATATCTTCCAGTACCATCAATAAAGATGACACCATGTATTTTTCCATGTTATTTGTTCAAACATCAAGTAACAAATAGCTTTTATGCATGAATAAACTCAAAAAACTAAAAAGGACATTAAGCTCTTGTGACAATAATATGGTTAGTACCTGTGAAGGTATCACAATAATTTCTAGGCCATACGGAAGAACAGTATTTTCTCAAGGCCGGTATCAGTGTAAATGGAGTAGCTTTATGCCGTTAAATCAACACATTGAAATAGCTTAAAATCATTAACTTAGATCCTCTTTCTTTGTAATTATGAAAATATTCTTAAGCAGTTTATAAATTAGAACTTTGGGAAGAGTCTATGATCAAATCAGAATGTTGTCTGCTTAGCAAGTGGCTGAAGAAAACTACTTACAATAAAATTTGATATGCAACTTTAGCAAGAACTAATTTAGCATAATTATGTTTGCTATTATGATGGATTTCACAGGAAGGTCTAACAGAGAAGAGCCATAGACATATCCTAATACAACTATCGTATTTCCCTCAAATTTTGGTCTATTCCCTGAGTTGCTACAGTGACATCATCGGCACACATGTGCGGTTGGATGTTATACTATACAGAGGAAATGACCAATATCTCAATTCAAAGCACTGTTGATACTGTACTGACATGGGATAC